TGCTGGTGTTGTATACACTACGTAGATAATAACATCGTGCTTCTAGATCATCATCGTCATTATTATTACTACTGCGACGCTATTGCCATTTACAATGTTATAATAACACTCGATCCCCTTCAGGGCCTCGCACGACCATTTAAAAAAAAAAAAAAATGTTTTTTTGTCTTTCTAATTGTTTTTGTCATTTTCATTTTTCCTATCGACCGTGTACGGCTTATCGACACCTTGATAACGACCGTTCGCCGAATGAAAATATTAATATTGTTGTCTGCATTTCTGCGTTTTTGCGTTTTTATAATTTTATATAATAATATAGGTACTTGTCTATGTTTTTTTGCTCACAGCTTCTATTACGGACTTAAGTTTCAGGTTCTTTTACCTGTGTGTTGCAAGTTGTAACCGTAGCCCTTAATGCTAGGTATAATTTGTACAACAGATCATTAAATGTCTAGTAGATAAACACTATGGTTTCGAAAGATCTCGTCACCACCGTTCGGTGAAGACTGTTGCGCCTGTTGCTGTGTGTTTTAAAAATCGTACTTTTACCATGTTAGTTTTTGTTTATTTTTTATCTACACGACTACACTGACACTTGAACTTTTATCAACTTCTTACTGCGAACACTTAAAATTAAATTAGGTTTAAAAATAAAGCATTCTTTATATTGTGCTGTTGAATCATGGTATAGGAATTTTCAAGGTATTTTTGATCAAAGCAGATTCGTCGCAAACCCTGTGCTCCATGATTGTATCTTTCGATAGTTCTTCGATAATACTTTATTATTATCTTTTAAAGAGAATAATTCTTTTATAATTATCTCATTTCAATTGTCAATACAATCAATAATAAAAATACTCATATAGGTATAATAATTATACCTATTAATAAATAAATTATTACCTTGAAAAGTAGGAAGTCTTCAAACTTGATCTTGTTTAGTTCTGAATCTACTCAAGGATTATATAGATATAAACTCAATAAGTAAAACTTGAGTAGAGAAATAAGTAATATCCAAGGTAATATAATATTTTGAATTAGGTATACCTAATACAGTTTATAGTTTAATATATTTTAGATACCCATCTTAATTTGCCAAATTGTCTATCATAGAATTATATGGACCTAAGCCTATTTTTAAATTGTCTGAATAATAGGTATAATAGATACCATTAAATAATTTTTCTGATATTCTAGGTACTTTTAAGCTCAAATGACAAGAATGTTGAAACTAAAATTACGATTACATAATTCAGAACTTAAGTAACTTACCAATTTGAGACTAGTATAACAATTTTGAAGTTTGATGTAATCTATAAAAAAACATAATACTTAGGAACCTGCTTAAAAATTAAATTGATAGAGTTCTCATATTATTTTATACAAAATACTTATATTTTATAACTCTTAATGTTTGTTGATTTGATACATAATATGCTTTTTAGTGTTAGGTACATCATATTTTAACTCATGTATTTTTTAAATTAATTGATTCAATAGGTAAATGTTTTCATTTATATTATTAAACTCTATTAGTTCCTTATTGGTACTAATATCTGTCTATAATATTCATCTTCAACTTAATGATTGATTATTTAGTTAACCAACTAATAAGTAATATATATGTGTACTGTATAGGATTTATAGGTACATAAGTAATTTATCGAAGTAAATATTTAGTTGGTTCAGTCAAAGGTTATCTGATATTGGAATATACACTACCTAGTACCTACAAAGTAGGTACTGTGTACTTTGATAGAAATCTTAAAGTTTTGATATTAAATATCCTATTGAAATAGAAACTTATGTAGTTTTATTTGTAATACCTACTTAAATATTTAATATAACCTTGGTACTAAGTATTTAAGAAAGGCTTCTTTTGTTTGCATTTTGCATCTATTGCTTGATTTTTTTTTAAATTATTTTTCAACCTTTTTGGTTTTATTTATTTACTTATATATTTTTATCATTACCTAGTTTTTTTTTTATTATTATTATTGTATTTATATGTTGATATTCATTTGTTATATATTATGTGTCATTATTTTATTAAATAGCCATCAGGCTATCACCATTAATCAGTGAAAGTATGTGTGCACATTTTTTTTTTTTAACTCAACACAAAAATTCAGAAACACAAATCCTGTGGACCCCGTCATTTTAGGTTAGTACGGATCTTATTTTATAAATTAATGTTTAAAAAAAAAACTAGTCATCTGTGTTACATAGCATACTAGGTAGGTATACGTAATATGATTAAAATCCATAATTTGCTTACAATTATATTTTTAATAATTAATTTACGTAGGTACTTGAACTAAAATATGTATTAAATAAAATTCAAATAACTAGATACATTGATGTGGATTATGTTAGGGTGATATACCTGCTACATTTATTATAGTTCATAATATTCTCATATGACAATAACCTTATCACCTAATGATTTTACACTTTTTATATTACCTAAGAAAAACCACATTTTTGTTACAAATATTCTTAAAATTAGCTATTGTAGTAATCATTTTCTAGTTGATAATTTTTTATGTGTGTTATTAGAAAAATTCTCACGGGATTAACTTTATTAGTTGGCTTTTATATTAATAAAAACTAAAAATGTAATACCTATGGCTTATAATTTCAAATTATATTGTTAATTATTTAAAAGTTGTTTTTGAAAATATGAAGAAATATTTTTACTTTTTAGTTTTTACTAAGGCTCTTAAATACAATTGAGCTCTGTAGGTACTTAACACTAGTTTTTATTTTTGTTTACTACGTATTCTAACCAATAGCATAATAATTGTTATGATAATTTATGCAGGTTATTATAGATATATTATAGGTAATATATAGATTTATGACTTATAACATGTTATATTTTATCACTGTATTTAAAAAGTAACCTAAGTGTTCCTATAATTAGTTTATTTTAAAAGTATGTTAATATCTTTGAGTTACATATTTAATGAAAATCTTTTGGACAAATTATGAATATTGAGTGACAAGTTACAGTTTCTGCACGGTAATTAACGTAACCACAATTAATAATAATTATTTATCAAATGTAGCTCTTAATTGTGGTATTAAAACTTAATAGTGATAATCACTCATCAATTGAGTTAAAAAATAAAATTAAAATTACGTACTATATAATATTATAATACCCATGTAAATTAATAAAAAAATGTACCTACTTAGGTGTACAAAAAATAACCTATTTAATTACCTATCATTAAATAATAACCCAATTTAATTATTATACACTGGATTATGTGCCAATCAATTATATACCTAATTTTTTGACAAAGGTACTTAAAAAAATAAATAATCAAAAAAAAAATATTTTATATTATGTATAAAAAGATATAAGATACTTAAATCTATTTTTACCCCAATTTTTACATTATTGAGTGTTTAATTGGAATTATAGTTGGTATGTTAATAAAACAATTTAGAAATTTAAATAAGAATAAATATGATAGTTAGGTAGGGTCCTATCTATTTATTTTCATTTGTAAATTAAATACAATTAGGAGGTCCTTTTTGACTACATTTTTAACTGTGCATTGAATTAGATTTAGGTTTGGTAAATGTAAATTACATGAATATATTATTTTTTTATAATTTTTTGCATGCAAATTTTAGTCACAACATACCTAGGTAGTTAGATTAAAAGTAAGAAAAAAAATCCATGTTTTTGTATTTAATATTTATGCTTGCTGTCTTAAGTTTGACTTGAATACAGTATGAAATTATGGCATACATGTTATGCTATTTATATTCTTAGATAATATTGTATTATAAATTATTTTCATCCAAAAATATAATTAAAGATATAATATGATATACAAACAAATTTTATACTGGTTATTAAGTTTTAATTATGGTTTTAACATTCAAATAAATTTAACAAATAGATAATGTTAAGTAGGTAGCTACAAAACTCTCAATTTTATTTTTAAGCTATAGGGCAAATTCTTTACCTTCCAGTGGGTGCATTGTTGCAAATAGTACAATAATTGTGTACTTATAGATTTTTTTTTTTACTTAATTCTATTTTTATTTTATTGATGGTCATATTATTCTCATAATATGTATTCCTTTAGAATGTTATTATATAGATTTTGGCTTAATCTTGAAATGTTTCACTAGTAATTTTTGTTGAAGTTGTTATTTTATCACAGGCAAGTTTAGTGTATTATCACAAAATACTACTAGCTCCGTTCTTTGTATCTACCTAATTTATTATTTTATAAACAATAGTTTGTGTGGTTACCTATAATAAAAAAAAAAGAATAAGCATTATTCTATATTGTTTACATAATAATTTAGATATTGTTCATTCGCTTATTATAACATTATTAAAAAAACGATTATTTGAATATAGGTACCTATTTTGTGGTATTATTTAAATATTTTAGATCTTTATTATTTGTATATTTAACTTTGGGTCAAATTCTATAAAAATGTTATTACTTAATTTAAATTTAATTTTATTAGGTATAGCCTATAAATAAATTAAGGTTTATGATACAGTCAATGTATTGGTATTTTATATTTGTTTGATTGATGTACAATAACTACTACATATTATTAATGTTGTAGATTTTACGAGGCGTGATGCCGTGACTTCTATTGTTATATAATAAATAGCGCACCCGCTGGCAGGTTTAATTTGATACTTAATTGATATCCATTTTATGTCATTAACTTCCCACGTAGGTACTAATAGTACTTTTTGATTTTGGTTTGTTGACAAATTGTGTAATATTTTAGGTTAAGATTTAAAACCAGTTTTAGTCTCTTATATAAAGTAATTTCATCTATTATTTGATTGTGATAATCACATCACATTTATTGTATTTTTATAAGTACAATCTAAGCAACTATTAGAATAATAATATTTATAATATGTATTGTTACAGTTTTGTATGCAGTGTCTATGCTGCTTTTCTACAATCTTTGCACAAAAGAAATGATCACATCGCTTCTTCAAAATGAATGCACGTTCCCACTGCCTTGAGTTAAGCGTTGAAGGTTTTCAAGTTGATGAAGCTGTTTCCTGTCTTTTTCATACTGTACTTCTACATCGATCGCTTGGAAAATTTTGTTTTGCCCCTGATGGCAGTCAGTACACTATGGGCACTGTAGGCTTACAAGATGTTGATTGTGATTTCATTGACTTTACGTATATATGTTGTTCATCACCACATTTAGATCGTAAACTTCGAAATGACATTTCAGAATTTTCTGAATGTCTCAGGCGTGATAATCACACATTTGGACAAATCACATTGGAGTTTTTTCAAAAAAAAAAAGCTAGGTGGCCATTTCAACCAGAGTGTACACCTTGGGAAGTGTGGAACGTGCGCGTTGATTTGTTGAAAATTTGTAATGAAACTAATAGACAAATATCCAAGGAAAAAATAAGTGACTCTTTGAGTGAAAAAATAATTTATATAGCAGAAATAATGAACAGGCATGAGTATTTGCCAAGTATACCACAACAGTCTGAATTGGATTTAGTGTTTGACACATCATTTGCTGATATTCAACCATACTTATTTAAGACAAATTATCTAACTAGTGGTGCAAGTAGTCCATCAGTCGGATCAACTGTTCAAAAACTTATACGAGATACATTGTCATTATAGTAACCATGATTTATATTATATTCATTATTTTTCTGTATCTACCAATCACCTATTAGTGGTAACTTAAAATTAGTACAAAGTAGAGTTTATACATAAAGTTGGAATTGTGACATTTAATATTATTAATGAGTTGATGTTTACCTTGGCTTTTATTATTTTAATTTAATTTTTGATGAATAATTTTTATTGTTTTAATAAATAAAAATTTATTTAAATTACACAGATGAAGATTGAAAGAAAGAAAATCATTAATAGTTGTTTTATTTACAATTCTTTCTTATTAAATAAGCACCTTCTGCAAATTTGTTTTTCTTTTGTTAATAATAACAATGTACCTACCACGATATAAATTTTTTTAAATTTATGTTATTCAATTATGTTTTGCCTTCTGTAACTTTTATAGTATCCACTTCTTTTCAATATAATGCACTAAAAATTCTAATATATCCACTAACTAACATTTAAATGTTATGACCAAGACTGCGATTTAATTTAATTTTAATACTATATATTGGTAGTCAACACAAAATATATTAGTGGTTGTCTATCATTGAATAATGGGTAATATTTCAGTAATTTTTTTGGACAGCTACGTTTAATTTTATTCCATGTGTACATTTTTTCTTGTTAAATTTGTTTTGTTGTCCATAAAATTTGACTGAGTGTCAATTGTTTATTTTATTTTTATGTTGCATAAACTGAGAATTATCAGCAATAATTTTATGCGCTTTTTCATAATAAAATTGTAATTTGAAAAAGTAATTAAAAAATAATTCAAAATATAATTGTGTGAATACTTCATTTTTTTTTATGGAAATCGGTTATTTTATATAGAAATACCTAATTATATAATTTATAAGTTTCCATTTTACTTAAATAGATGTATATATTTTTTTTAATTGGTGATAAATTTTATTACATTTACTGTTTTTATAATATTATTATCATGATTATTAATATTAATTTTACTGTTAAAATTAGGTTTACCAACAATTCAAAAATAATTTTAGATATTTATATACATTTGCTATGTTAATTATATTTTTTTTCATAAATGATCAATTTGTTTAATTTGTATGCTATGAAATTTCATTGTAAATAAAAAAAATAATAATATGTACATTTATTTTATTTTGTAGTAGAAACTTGAACTACTGTATTATAATTTTCATACTGATTTTGATGTTTAATAATAAAAAAAAAAATAGTAACAATAATTAATTGTATAAATCTACCTAATTTTAGGTTTATTTTCTATGTATTATTGCAGTTGATTGAAATTTATATTTGTAAAAAAAAAACTGTTAATATAATGATATACAACAAATTTAAAATAAAAACTACCAAATGTGTACTTTGTGATTAATATGACTTACCTAGATAATTTTTTTAAATCTAAAATTTATATAATATTATATACTACAGACTTTTAGGATGGACCCCAGAGTGTAGTATTTATATATGATAAATGTAGTTAGAAAACTATGGTTATTAAAGCACTTTATTTTAAACTGAATGATTGGTTTGAATCAATTAAAAAAAAATATCAAGTCTTGCAAGTTGTAAGTAGGTAACACATTGATAACATGAATTGATGATACTTAAAGTATAAATATTTTACATAAATTTTAAAAACGGCCTTACATTAGATAACTGTATGATATTATTGTCTACTTAACGTTTGAAATTATTTCCCTTAAGGGGATTTCAGTGCAATATGTGTTTTCTTTCTCAAACTCATGTACAACATAAATAAAACGCTTTCATCTAATATTGATTTTTATGATTTTTTAATAATCTTAGATTAAAACCATCTATTACAGTAATTATAGATTATATTATTGTGAGGGTTTGACTTATCGGTTTTGATATTTTATTAAAATTTGACTTTATAGACTCAAAATATTTTTTAAAAAAAATTGTTAGTTAATTTAAATGATGTTGAAATAATTGTTTTGAGACATTATTTAGACAATTTGATTTGTCGTACACTCATGCACTCAACAATATTATTCTCCATCATTTTGTAATGAGTGATTTTACTGTTAAGATTTTAGATTACTCAAAAACAAAAATAATGATTCTGCGTTAATGCATTTTGTACTATTTTCATTTCCGACTTGTCCCGTGTTCAGTAGACCGTGATATTGTCATAGACGAAATTTGTATTTGCACATTAGGTATTTAGGCGTGTGTTTTATATTGTTCGATTAGATCTAAATGATGGAATATAATAATAATAATAATACAATCCATCTATGCGTGTACCACATCCGTCGGTGGTTTGTGTCGACAGCTATTTAAAATGTATGTCCACGTTACGTTTATTAGATAAGTACCGAACAATATTATACCTATAGCAAAGTGTACTATACATTTTAGGCGTTTGAATTTATACTACTGCGATGCCACGTGCTAACTTATTATAACAAATGAACAATAAAACCGATTTCTGCGTCCAATTGATTGCAAATCGCATCGCACATGATATTGTTGTTTTGATTTTTACCGACTTGTTTCTTTCCGATTTTACAGAATATTCTTACGCAAGTGATGTCCAATAATGAGTTCGCCGAGAAGTAAGCCAATCGCATACCGTTCATACTCGACCAAAACACAGTCAACAAAAGGTAATTGAATTACGCCAGCTCGTCTTCCGTAATCTTGAAAATTCAAACATTAAAATGTATTATAAAATTGTGTCATCGTTTTGCAATAATAGTTTATAGATATGTTAAGTTTATATTCTTCTACTACGTTAAACCGATGTTACATTATTATCTGTAGTCGACTTATGACCTCTGTGCGTTAAACAATTTTGTTAATTACGAATCATATACTTATGTAATTATTTTTAACTAGCTATTTGAAAATTAAACATCGAAATGATAAAAAATGAATCACTAGAAACAATAAATTAATTACCTAAAAGGTTAAAATAAGAAATCTTTAAATAAGAAAAACGATTCTTAGGGGAAAATAAGACTTATGTTACTAAGTAGATTTATTTAATGATGTATTTATATTGCAATTAGGTAGGCATAATTTATTTTACTATTAGTAATACGTTAGGTTGAATTAATTTTTCTTATTATTAATATTTAATTATTATAATAGTACCTAATAGGTACCTATATAGAACGGACGAAAATTATTTAATGTCTATTAAATACTACAATATAATATGAATATTCTGTCAAAAAAATATACAGCTATCAATTTTTACTTGACAACGAAAACTAGATCAACGTAAAAAAAACCTGTTTTCCTTGATTTTTCTTTGTTTTCCCGCTTATTTTGAAAAGTTACGGGAATTTTTAGATTCTGAGTGGAACGATAAATGTATTGATTTTACAATGATGGGTTTTTTTGTTTTTGTGTCTGTGTACACGATGAGTAGTCGAAATAATGCTTTGATTTTTAATTTCAGTATCTTGTTCGATTGGAAAGTGAATATTGTTGGTGCATTGGGGAGGTCAAAATTTAAAATTCCTAGTAATTTTCAAAAGCACCGTGAAAAACAAAAGAAAAATTAAGGAAAAACTGGAATTTTTACGCAAAATCGATTTTGGTTTTTGGTGTAACTTTAAAACAAATGACCGTAGATTCATGAAATTTTCACTGACTGTTTATATTTGCATTTTCTATACACTATAACATTTTCAAAATATTTTGATTTATTTTGAACTGTTTAGGGACATTTTCATTTAAAATTTTTTTTTAGTTTTTTTTCTAAAAATACCGATAACATTTTATTTGTTGGTTAAAAAAGCTTGAACATTTAATACAAGGCTCCTACTATATTGTTACAATGGCATTTGAAAAATATTAAAAATCCTTAGTCACAGTTTTTTTTTATAAGCATTTAAAGTTCAAAATTGACAAAATATGGAAAAATCACGAAAATTAGCAAATTATTTTGAGTTAAAAATTCGTTAAAATTTTTACTTTTAAATCTAAGGTTTTAAAATTTAATACAAGATTCCTCATAAGTTTGTCTACCTTTATCAAAAAAAAAATGTCTGTAAGAAAGTCAAATTAAATTTTTATGAGCGTTTTAAATTCAAATTTTTACAACATTGGATACTCGATTTCTCATGTAGTGATTTCCTTATTTTGTTGTAATTCAAAAACGAATAACTGTAGATATATGAAAATGTCACTGAATGTTTATATTAGCATTTCCTATACATCATTTTGAAAATATTTTGACTCTTTTTGAGCTGCTTACGGACATTTTCAGTTTTCAATTATTTTAGTTTTTTTTTCTATAAATATCAATAAAGTTTTAACGGTTGGGCCAAAAAGTGTAAAAATTTAATACCAAGCTACTGATATATTGTTACAATATCAGTTGAAAAATATTAAAAATACATAGCACATTATATACATTTATCAAATTTAAAATTGAATAATTATTTTTTAGTTAAAAATTTATAAAATGTTCAACTTTTATATCTAAGGATTGAAAATTTAAAACAAGATTTCACGTAAGTAGTTAATTCTGTTACCAAAAAATCTAAAAAATACATAAGCAAATTTTATTTTTATAGTCATTTTAAATTAAAAAAAGATTTAAAAAAAAACACACTTCATTGTAAAATCAATACATTCATCGTTTCACTCAGAATCTAAAAATGATAAACTTCGTTTTGAAGATATAGCTATCCAAAGTTTGCGATTTTATGTTTATACGCATGTGCGCAACACTACTTTAATGATGCGCGGAGGAACTCGTGTTTGGTTTTTTTTCTATTTTTTTGTCCGAGCTGAGCACTAGCACATTTTATGCTTTTTAACAACCTTGTTTAATTCCGAGGCCTGCCCAAGGTGGTTTTACAAGGCAAATCGGGAGATATTTTCGATTTTTTTGTGCAAGCGATATTCAATTCTAAGTATTTTTTTAAAAAAATGTAGTTTTTGAAGTTTTTCATTAATAACTTCAAAACGAAGTCTGTTTTTATTTTATATTCTTATAAAGCACCCTTAGGTACATATTTTGAAAAAAAAATTTATTTAAAAATCGACAGGTTGTTAAACAAGAATCGATCCATATTTTTCTAAAATCTTAAAAAAAAACTATCTGAGATTTTCGTCAAAATCTTATCAAGTAGTTTTGAGTATATTATAATCTACAAACAAACATTTGGTTTTAAGATAGGTACCTATAGTTTTTTTAATCGAGGCCATGTAAATGAGCAATGATGCATGTGTTTGTACCTAATCTGCTCGAGTAACCAATGGCAACCATTTTTATCCAAAAAAAAAATTTCAATTTCCACCGAATCTTAAATCCGTGTTTGATGACATCTTTAAAATATGAGACTTGGAAAATCCTTAGTGGGTCTTTAAATCATAAAACAAAACTACTGACCAAATTGCATACTCATAGCTTTGACAGTTCTGGCTGGGCAATGATGAATCAGTGAGTCGGGACACGTTAATTTATATATGTATATATATAGATAGATCAGGGGTGGACAAACTTTTTTTGATAACGATCTACTGAGGGTGTATATTTTTATCTCTCAAGATCGACTAATGTAACAAAATTAATAAAATGAAGTGTAAAGTTTTCTAAAAAGAGTGTTTAAGATTCAATTTTTAAATAACTTTAAAATACATTAACGTTATACTGTTGAATGTTGATGCAGAAGTGTGTTGTAGCATATCATGGCCAGTTAATTATAATTGGTAATAGTCCCTAACTGCCAAACTAAGACGCCGCGCTAAAGTCTAAATGATCATTAGAAAGTATAGATTGGTACTTATTCAGCTTTTATAACTTTTATATAAGATAAATGTTATTTCAAACCAACAGGTTAATCCAAAATATATCTTTTTAATAACTGTATCTACTAAATGACAAATGTTTAAGATAAATTTATTAATAATTTCTATTTTCTAACAAGGGGGATCATTGGATCAACTTAGAAATTGTTCAAGATTGACCATTTTGCTACCCCTGATATAGATGATAGCCAATAGGTAACGAAACTAAATAATTCAGGGGGAAAGAGGGATTCTCATTTGTAAGAACAAGTTTGTATTTCCACAGGACACTCCTTAAGTGGTAAAAAAAATGTCGTGTATTCAAAAATATGATCTTCAAGTGCATGTAAAAATTTCAAAAATCATAATTTGAGTATGTGCATAAAAATAGGTGTGAACTTTCTTAAAATATCCCCTTGTATATACTGATATACCTACTCTAGCTATCGGGCATAACATTTCTTTATTAGTTATTGGTTTATTATCCATTAAGACACATAATATTTACGGGTTGAACCCAATTTTTATAGTTATTACATTTATGAACTTAATTTGAATAATATATATAAAAAAAAAAATAATAATAATTTGAAAACAATACAAAAACATAATATAATAATAATTAGGTACAAAAAAATATCTATAGAAAAAAAATGTATAAATAATGAGTAATATAATTACAAAAACAATCAAAAGAATGATTTTTTTTTAAATTGATTATTTCACAAATAATTTTTCCTTTTTAATCATCTAATATCAATTATGTAATGTGTTATATACTTCATTATTAACAAAAACAAAAACTTTTTTATTTTAGTGTTGAGTGGTGAATATAGCGGTAGTGAGAGTGAATCATTTGATGACACCAACGATGGGCGCAGAACAGCAATTAGACAAGAACCACAGGGACAAGAAACACATAAAGACTTCAGCATATCATCACCTTCTGCTTATGATACACTAATTATTCATAATGATGATGGGTCCAGGTTCAGTTCTGGCATACCTAAATATCGTTATGGAAATAGGGAAGAAATAAAAAGTCAAGGACATAAAAATGGTGGACGACAGATCGTTGACATGGGTGTAAGGGAAATAACCAATATACCAGATGATTATCTCAGTCAATCTCATGTATGATTTATTGTACATCATAATAATTTATTAAAATGGTTTATATTCAAGTATTTATGTTTTAGGTCTTAAAACACCTCGCTAAAGAAGTTAAGGTGGATCCATCGAAACGCGACACTAACTTGTCTCGATGGCATGATACTGATAAGAATATGTGGTTACCAGAGTATCGACCAGTTCCTATTAGAAATCTGGTTAAATCAAAGTCTCAACCAAATTTGGGTACAGGTTTGTTAAAAATTGAACGTTCTGATACGGATCCCATGAGACACACACTAGGAAATACTAGGTACTACTGATACATTTAAAATTAAAATTAATATAATATTAATTCTATATCTTATATGGTTCTAGAAAAGATCAAAAAATGTTGTCCATAGTGGACTGTTTGATGATGGAAAATAAAAGTCTGAAAATAGAACTGGAATCGTGCCATCAAAAAGTTGCCAAATCGTACAGGGTAAACATTATTTACTTGTTTATATTTAATTACTCACGTGTTTGTAATGTTTTGATGACTAAATGGACTTAAAATTGATCAATTGGTTCTCAACATTTTTATTATTATTTTAAATACATTTTTATTTTGAAAAATATATTTATTAGCTTGAACAAGAAGTTTCCAAGGTGTATCGTTCTCACCAAGAACTTGTAGAATCAAGTGAACGGCGTGAAAGACTTGAACGAACAGCTCGATTAAAACTTCAAGCAGAAGTTAGGCGTTTACAAGAAGCGAACCGTTCTATAATACGTGATCAATCATTGTCTTCCTCAAACATAGTAGATAATAATCAAATGGTAAAACGTGAGAACATGATAGCTCAATTGATAACCCAGAGTATGTCGTTTATTATCTTTATTATACAATAAATATTTAATTATTATTTATTTTTAGATAAAGACTTGTTAGCAGCTAAAGATCGCCAAGAAATTGAATTAGCTGCTCAACGTGCTACACTTGAAGAGCAACGCACTCATATTGATATTTTAGATACTGCATTAACTAATGCTCAGTCTAATGTTGTTCGCCTAGAAGAAGAATGTCGTAAGAAGCAAGTTCATGTGGAAAGAGTTGCCCAGCTTCAAAGAGCATTGTCTTCTCTTCAACTGGCTAGCGACCGTCGTGAGCAGACTGAGCGTAAACTTCGACTTCAGCTGGAGCGAGAACTGCGGAACGAACGTGCACGCAATAATAATGCTTCTCAAGATGGTTCAGCTGGTAAGTTAAAATTATTGATTTATTATTATATAAATAGGTAGAGTAAATATTATTATGAATAATAATACAAATTATATTAAATAATTTTAGAAAATGAACCGGGTGAAAGCTTACCCGAATTAAAGCGTATGCTACGGGAAAAAGATGAAAAAATAATGCGACTAGAAGGTGAAGTTGCAAAATGGGAACAACGATATCTAGAAGAAAGTGAATTACGTCAAGCTGCTATAGATGCTGCCAGTGTACCAAAGTAAGTGATATACCTCTAAAATCTACTTTTATATTACTTAATAAAATAAACTATTTTAGGGATGCAAAAATAGCAGCATTGGAAAAGACAGGTCAAGAAAGTGAAAAACTAATTGCGGAAGCACGATCAGACAAGTTAAAAAAAATGGAAGAAGTTCATGCAGCACAAAAAAAAGTCAGCGAATTGGAATCGCGGTATTTAAATTTAAAATTCTACAATTATTGTCTATTATATTTATTGTATTGTAATAATTGTATTTTTGTTGTATTAATAATTTATTTCAGAATGAAAGAGTTGGAATCTAGATTGGCAGAACGTGATGCAATGATTAGAGTGTTGCAAAAGAAACATAGTTTTGAAAAGGATGTGTCCGGGTCATATCCAAGTATATGTCTCAGTCATCATACTCCACATTCAAGTCTTAATACTACAGACCTAACTTCTGATGACCTCGGTAAATATATTATAGTTTAAAATAATGACTGATAACTTAAGGACAATATTGTGTACATTATTATTGTAATTTGTTTCTTAATTATTTTTGGTCATTGATCTTCACACTGCGTTGTATTCTTATTAAATATATTAAAAATGTATAATAATTTTTATTTGGTATTTACGTACTATCTGCTCTGTTTGAAAATGTACTGGAAATTTGATCATTACACATCACATATGACATATAGCATATAATCTGGATTGCCAGTTTTTTTAATTTAAATGTATTACTAACAGCTATAAAATCTTAGTGGAAGATAATTCTTATTTTTAAATAATTGTTGACTTTATCTGCCCTATAGAATACAAGATAGTATAAAGTTGACCACTTGCTGATTTTTATAATTAAAATAATATTATTACCTATTGATTATAGAATAATTTATTATGTTTGCGGTTTTCTCAATTGACATAACACAAACTTCTCTTAAATAACTATTTAATTTATTACATTTTATCTTAACACATGGTATATATTTTGTTAAATGGTCCACCACTTGATTGGTGATAGTTTTTGAAGCAAATAACTAAAATTGTAAATTTACTCTTTCTTGAAACAATTTTACTGAATCTTGTTTATTTTTTGGCTACAATCACAAATCCATATTATTTAATTAAATTAACAAAATTTGAATACAAATTAATAGAACTTTGAAGTATGAGTACAAAGTTAGTGAATGAACAGTATGGAGGTATACTCTGGCTCACGAGAGAGTATCCTCGTTTTGCTCATGCAGACTGATGGCAGTGACCGTTCCAAGGCCCCATTTCCCTCACTATTTCCTGCCGACTGTTGCCGAACAGCTGTCGGCATGCCAAGTAGTGGGGAATGCTCCGAATCGGACAAATTTCATCGGGCGACGGGATACTCTCTCATGGGCTGGAATATAGATGAAAGTATTGAGTATAAAAAAAAATATTGAATATTTGATTCCCCTTATATATTCTAAGTTTCTATTCTAATTCATTTGTAATATAAATTTAAAAATAAGTATCATCAGCTGATAGGATTTTACTGCAACAGATAAAAACTGGTTGTCCAGATAAAACTTATGTGGTATAACCTGGCAGTCTGCTTAATTTTTGTGCAGATGATTAGATAGTACCATTAGGTAGTATGTAAGTACCTTTAATAAATATTGTGCGCTTAATTTCTTTTCAATATAAGTCTTTATTCAATATTATTTATCAAGTCCTGTTTCTCTTAAGTTGAAGATGGTCTGATGGCTTTTTAAAATATGGTGTTGGCATTGTAACTTGTAAGTGTACTGTATAGTGGGTTGTTCATATTTTATATTATATGGATATATAATAGTATACAGGGTGTTCCGTGAGGATTTACTCATTAGCCGTAGAGGGGGACTCGCCGCCCGGACAAAAACCAGTTTATTGACGTTTTACTAATAAACTAAAAAAATTATTAAAAATCATGAGATTAATGAAAATAAAATGTTAAAAGCTCAAAATGTTCACAAAAATATACTCTATAGAATGGCTATCTTCAATTTTTTCAAAACTTAAAAAATTAAAAAATAATTTTTTTAACTTTTTTACTAAAAAATTTAATTTAATTAAAAAATAAAATATTTATAGTGCTTACCTCTACGAGTCTTAATAAAAAAACATAATTACGATATCTCCATTATTTCAGGAGATATCGCAATGAGTAAATCCTCACGGGACACCCTGTATATATTAGTAAATTTTTTCTTTGCAATTACATATGCCTGTTAAACAGTATTGTTTTATTTGGTTAGTTAAAAGTACCTATATAAATGGAAAATGGTAATTTATAGAATTTTAACTTAAAGGGACTGCATATTCTAAGGAGTACTATTTAGGCAATTCATGTGACATACTGACATATAAATTAATACTGTATCTATGTGTGAGTAGTAAATGAACATTAGTGTGCATAATACATTATCGTTTCCGAGAATCACTGCAGGTCTAGTTGGAACCAACTCTCACACGCTCTCGCACATGTCAATGCATCTCGAAAAATGAAATATATTCTTGTTAGCATGACTATAAAATTACTAAAAGCGGTAGTAAATTAATCATACTTCACGAAGTTCGATTGTAATTTCGAAAAAATGGTTGAACTTATAAACTTCCAGACTATGCTTCTTAGGAATCACTTTTTTTATTTAAAATCAGATGTGCCCAAAATAAATACAAATGTAATGCAATTATTTTATGGGATTTCTAAAAAAAAAAATGGTTATTTTAAGGTCATTTTAAATTGAAAATTGAAAATCAACTTCCTAAGAAGCCTTCTTATTAGATATTTTATCAATGAATTCAAACATGTATAAAAAATTTAAATTGAACATTCCGAAGTATGTGTAATTTACCACCGCTTATTGGTCTAAAACGTATGAAAAATACGTGCGTTGCAGCCCCCTTAAGAATGTGATATACTTACCTTTATTGTCTTAAGTCTTTGTTGACTCTATCCTTGACATTATGGAACTCGTGTTCATAATGCCGCCAATATCTTCCAATTTAGTTTGAGACAAAAAATATATATAAATAAAAAAAGTTTAGAAATATAATTATAATTTGTTATCAATTAGTTTCTATGTTTGTTTGTTTGTTTGTTTTTTTTATTCATTAATATTTAATTTATTCCTTAGGTTTTGGCTCAAACAATTCATATACAAGTAGTGTGGACAGTACTTATCATCACCACCATGGTAATAAGTATTCATCTACAAATCAGAGTTTTGACCATAAATCATTAGATGACCAACTAAAAGAATTGGACTCGCAGCTATTGAACAAGGTAAACAACACTGTTGCAGAATCATCTTACACTGATTCAGTTTCTGATGTTATCTATTTGTTTTGATTGTTGAACACTGTCTTGTTTGTCTTAATATATAACAAACGTTTTTCGTTTTGTCTATTTAGTTTGTACTCACTCTACTATATTTGTATCTGTGTGGGTGTTAATTTTTTGTAAATTACCAGGATTTAAATGCTGTTAATTGGTATAGCCTGAAAGGTAACGTAACTAACACGTTCTCCCCTACTTGAGAGTTTGATTTTCAACTAAATTATATGTATATATTTGAAAAAAGTGTAACCAAAAACAAAACAAAATTATTAATCCTTTTTGTGATGGAAAAATATAGTTATGAATAATTTCTAATTTTTAATGTGTCTTAATGTGTTTGAACATTTTTAATTTCTTTGAAGTTTTAACGTTTTATTGAGTGAATTAATCAGGCATGAGTTTTATTTCATTTGAATTTCGGTTTGATTAAACAAAATAAAAATATGCAAGAGAATTGGACGTTTACTGGGTGCCTGGATGGGGGGACGTGTTTGTTTTTGTTTTCAGAGAGGTCTTTGCTGTTTTCCAGGCTTCTCTCATACGGGCTCTTTGTCGCGAAAAGCAAAAACACCCCAACCACTACTGGAGGGTGTAACTGGAAATTTCCTCGGTCACCGGGCTGATGACATCATGCTTTTGGAGAAACAAGGTTTGTGTTCACAAGCACAACGTCAAACACAAGAAAGCCGTTGTGGAAGTTTACCTCCTAGTTCACTTCCTCGGCCAAAACGACACAGGAAATCTAGCAGCAAAGTCGGAGAGTATGGTCGACTCAGTGATTCGGACGTCAAGTCAAAAGATGTGAAAAAGTTAGGTGAATACAGTCATTTCAATGATAGCCGTAAGAATTCCTTGAATTCTCTGGATACATCTAGTGATGCTAGCACAGCTCCAAATACACCTACTGAATGTCCCTCTTCTGTTAAGTTTGAACCATTAGAACGATCACTCAGGCAATCACCTTTACCACCAGATGGACGTTATCGTAGATCTAGCCGTGAATCAGATGTAATTACCTCTAGAGAATCATCTTGGACTGGGCCTAGGGAGTCTTCATCTAGAAATAGTGTCAACCGAGAATCAAGATCTAGTATTACCAGAGAATCTCCAACTAGGGCAATAATGGTTGGACCTAGAGACTCGCCAGGAAAGAGTATACTTGATCCGCCCAGAGTAATGGCTAGAGAATCTCCAGGTCGTTCGTTTTACAAAGATACACAACGAAGCTTTATCCCACCACCTAGAAAAATTGATTTTGGAAATTTGGGCACACCGGATTCGAGTAAGATATCAAACATTGAATCCAAATTGAGAATATTCTCTCCAGGGGGGGTTCAAGGAAGAAGAGGATCACTGCAAAGAGATGGGATTTACAAGGGAGACTCAAACAATAAGAATGGTGTTCGGTCACTGCCTACTCCAAACAAATATAAAATTCAGTTTTAATTCAATGTGCTATTAAAGTTAAACAATAGATTATTAAAATATTAAATTATTTTTTTAATACGTTCTTGGCGAATTCCGATCTAACACAACTTATATTATATAAAACCTAGTCATGTTTCTTGTCAGTAAAATAGCTGCAGTCTTTTGGCGTTACAAGTTTAACGTACATTGAAAATGATCTGCTGTATTTTGCTCTATTTACAGTATATTTAATATGTATACTCACATTAAACAATGAAAAATAAATTGTATTTTTTTTTAGTTTAATCTGATAATAATTCAACAAATTATTAAACCAACAAAATGTGTAACTAAAATCTTTAATCTAGTCCTGCTTATTATTTTATTAAATTAATAAAATTATAACTGTTTAGTTTAACTATATTTTTTTAATTCTCAATTTTCCTAAAAACTTGCTTTATGTTGTTTATGACCCTAATCTTATGAAATTGTTTTATATCTTATTTTATATTCTACTTAAAATATGACGTACAATAATAGTAATTATAGTGGTAATTTATAGTAGGTAATAGTAAGTATTGTAGGTTATAGGAACCTATATAGTCTTCATATGTCATGAGTAAGGATGAGAAGTTATGGAAATTGCATATTTTTGTCCATGTCTTCTATTTTAATTTAATTTAGAAGTGAGCTAAAAATCTGTTCCATAACATTGTGAGTTCATATGTGTTTTTTTTTGTATATTTTGGTAATTTTTTTAAGAAAAGCATAATAATGACTTTTGTGCATATAAATTCATTTTTAGCAAAATTTTTTCTTTTTTTTAATAGAATCTATTCTATAAAACAACTAACAAGTCATTTAGATGTTTAAAATATTCAGATGTTCAATGCAACATAATATTTGCGTTATTTATATTATATAGTATACTAATATAGGTACTAAATTACTTTATTTTCTACTATAATGTAAATTTTTTTATACCTATTTTTTGGCAAATTTTTTTTTGTGTATATTTTGTCAATTTTCTCATCCTTAGTCATAAGATAGTTCATATTTTTACTAATTTTTGAACTATAGGTATACAATCTTATAAGTACTTATCTACTTTAGTTTTTACAATATTATTTCAAATTATAGTACCAACTTACTTAATGCCTCTAAGGCTCTAAATTATAGCTTTACCTATAACTAAGAATATTTTTCAGAGCATTAATTATAGATACCTACATTGCTTATAGCAATTTTGTGTTTCACAATAACTTTTCTTTTTTTTTTTTTAAGAAATGTATTTTAAATTTGTACAAAACATAAAATCTTAAAACCAAAAATATATGACTATTGATGGAATAGTAGGTAACAAAATGATGAAGTAAAAACTAAATTATGATTTTATCATACATCTTATTAGGACCATTTATTACATAATTATGTGAGTTAAATACCTACTTTTTAAAGTACTGTAAGAAATCAACTCAGGCGTGTATACAATAGGGGAGGGTCGCACGCCCCCCTCAAACAAATCCCTAAAAATGGGTTTGTATTAACTATTATGTATATGATATTTTTTTTTTGGCTCGGTATATGATATTATATTGGATCTAATTTTTTCTTTTATATATTCCTGGAGGCCCAGTGGCCCACATACCTTTTGTTGCTTTTACGTATTATGTTACAATTTAGGCAGCTTATTCGTAAATACCGACAATATATATATTCGACAATCCCCCTCATGGCCTCACCTTAAATACGCCACTGCATCAAAATATCTATCAACTTTTGATACTATGTCTACCAGATAAGAATAAAATATATGTAATATTTATCATATTTACATAATATGTTTGTATTAGTTAATTTAGATGACGAAAACCCTGTTCCTCAATAGGTAAGTAAAGTACTCTTTAGTTGTAAAATGTTTAAGTCCTCTACTGGCTCTAGTGCTCTACAGAACATTGGGCCTAATAAATACTATAATAACTTTTCCAAAAACCTCGTCAATACATTTAATTTTAATATCGGTAATTCGAGAATAATCAATGATCACTGATGTTTTGTCACCCGTTAAGTCCGTTAAGTTAGTTTTCACTGTACAACGAAAATGCTATTAGATAACCACTTTAAATATGGAAAATATTGGTAGCAAACTAATAACGACATGAATATGAAAATACAATGGTGGTAGGTACTGAAGTTAATAAACTTTTGAACGAGCATTCAAAACCTTTCTGGCTGTAACCCTCAAAAATCAAGATATTAAAAATTGGTAACTATAAAAAAAAATAATAATATTTTTATAAATATTGACAATATTATTAGGTATAAGTTATTAGTTATTAGGTACTGATAGATACCGATTTAGGATAACTTAAACCGTGCTGGTAGGCAAGTTACTAACACTGTTTATATTCAGACTAATATTAAAGAAAATCGATTTTTCTAAACGTAAAACTTGGTAAATTTTACGTCAGTAAGAGCCAAGAGGGAGACAACACATGAGGGACGACGTCCAATTAAAACCTTGGTAGGTACCTACTTATAAATATAAATATTATTTTTATAATAAACAATTTAAAACGACACTCAAAAATTGTGTTTAAACCTTTAGTTTTCGCCCTCACTTCTTACAAATGATTAGAGGGATACATAATATTATATTATCATATTATTGTGTTACTTTACATTATAATATAATATAATATATTAATATGTAGATATTAATACATACATACAACGTACTACGTAATTATACAACTAACAGCTTTCTTAAGTCGTATTAAAAAAATTGTTGAAGTAGAACTTTTTCCAATGGGAACTGCAGTATTTCTACATTGGTTTGAAAAAATAGAAAACTTTTTATAAATTTCTAACTGAAAACTAATTTGCAAACTTTCGAGATTTTGATTATTGTTGTCAAAATTTGAACTTTAAATCCATATAAAATAATCGTGCCTGTCAATATTTATGAACTCCTATTAAAGAATCTTATGAGGACCCTTAAATTGTAAAACTTATTTAATAAATGAAAAAGATTAAAACGACAATAATTTAAAAAAAAATTCTCAATGCTATAAATAGCTCAAATAGAGTCAAATTATTCCATATACGGATATTGCTAATAATAATAGTTGGTGAACATTTCAAGTGTCTACTGTTATTAGTTTTTGAGTTAAAACAAAAAAATAAAATCGTTTTTTTCAAAAATTATTTTGCCTAAGAATTACTATTTTTTCACTTTTTTTTTTGTTTTTCCCGACGACGTCTAGGACTACCGAGAATTTTGACCTCTTAAAAGTACCAACAAGATTCACTCTTCTATCCGAAGAGATGCTTATAACGAAAATTGGAGCATTTTTACTACCCTTGTAGGAAAGTTATTGAAATAACTCCCAAAACTCTCAGGTACCTAGTCAACATTTTTACTTATTAATTTTGTTCCCAAGATGTATGTAAGTATCCACCTATTGATTTGGCTCGACACTTATTTCAGAAATATATTTGTTATTAACATTTAAAAAAATATAAATACTACATTTTATAGTAATATCTTTATTATTAGTTATTTAGTTATTACAATTAAAATATAAATAATAAAACCAATGACTAGCTCAATGTTTAAAATAATATTATATTACCTACTTTTTCTGAATGTATTATTTTATAAATCAGGAATTCAGGAACAGTATAGATATTATAGATGCTGCATTTAACACAAAAAAATGTGAACTTCATCAACAATGGACAAGTTACAATAGTGGCAATTTTAATTAACAACAGATATACAATCTTGTTGACGACGTAAATACGTAATACAGCTCCGGTAGCGTCGTCGATACCACAAAAAAAAAGGCACCATCTTGTTATTGAAACCAAATTGTACTATAAACCAATCATGGGCGCACACGAATTGCGTACCAAGTGAAGTAATTTATGTTTTTGAATAAATTGGGTGCGTCCGGAACGCAATTTGTATTATTTTTTCGGAGTTCGTGGTTTGCACATCAGTCACCATTAAACACCCAGGTAAAAAATTTGGTTGGTTTTTCACGCACCGTGTTTCTTAACAAATGTAACGGTATAGTGAATATTAGTTTTATTACCTACTGTGTGACATGAACGCATATTATAATACACCAACTAGCAATTAGATAATTAATATTTAATACTCAGGTTTAAAAAAATGGACAAGTGCTACCCACTTGTCAATTTTTTTAGGCACCGCTCTGCTGTAGGTAGGTTAATGTTGTTGAGTATGTCATTGTAATGGATTCAAATATGTGTTATATTTGAATCCATTACAAAAAATAATTCAATAATTAAAAGGGTTGTTAATTGTTGTGTTTAAAACATGAATTTTAACATTTGTTTTAAACGTTTTGTTCATTGTTTATACGACTAAAACATTGTAAAATAAACGTGTGCCGAAGCCGAAGTATAGTCTCGTTCCATCGGTTGCTCTGTGTATTGCTACCAAGTCATCGAAAAGTAAAATATACTATACATATACTAACATTTTATTTAAATATAGGCAGGTAGGTACGTTAAACTGTACTGGATATAGGTAACTATTGACTACTTAATTCTAATATTATTAACATAAAAATCCTATCAAATTCTTCCGTTTGGTATTAATATGTCACTGATATACAGTAACAGAGATAGACATCGTTTTAAATGATGTAATAATAGTTACTACCACGTAACTATCTGAAAATATAAGTAATTTTTAATAAATTATTTATAATAATTATTAGGGCACGGATTTTAATGTCCTAAAAACCAAAGAAAATTTATTTGAAAAATATGACTTATTATTTTATTAATGCATTAATAATTTGCACAATATAACAACATTTAAAGAAATACCCTTAGGCCTTAACAATGGTTTTTAATGAGGTTTTTAACTTAATATTAAATAAAAATGATTAAACAATAGGTACCTAATATATTTGTACAATTTATACAATTTAGCGTTATCGCAATTGATGCAAGTCGTAAATAATATGACTCATTTATTATAAAAACGAATTACTTGCTAT